AGACTACATCACTGTGAAAGAAGTTGATTTAGAAGGGATTGAATCTCCTCACAATGGCTGGGCAGGGACTTCCATGGGCTTCTCATGAGCTTAAAAAGACTGGATGGGGTTGTTATTAATACTGGTTCGACTAGCAGATGCTTTCTTTGAGATGTAACGCATCAGTCTGTCATCTTCCATCTAATGGTTCCATGCCCCAGAATCCACCCTTTGCTATGAAGAACTTTAGTCCAGTTTTTTTTTTTTTTTTTTTTTTTTTTTTGCATTTCCCCCTCCAAATTCCACAATTTAAAGTTCATTTTGGGTTTTTTACTCCCATTCCTCGCAAAATAAAGTTTCCCACCTCTTGAATTTAGTGGCTGGGATGTTGAGGGTGGTTTTTGTTTTGTTTTTTAACTTATGTCTAATGCAATTAATGTCATGTCCACTAAACTTTCATTTTCCATTTTATTGTTATCCTCTGTGTCCATGATATGTTTCTAGAGAATTGATGCTTTTGTTTCCTTGTGCCAATACTTTGTTGGGCATTCCAAAAACTTTACTGTACTTTTTGTGTGCTAGCATTTTGGGTTTCTTAGAACTTTTTTCAAATGGCTTTTAGAGGGTTGGTTTTGCACGGTACCACTTACTGTTGCTTGAAGCTTCAATTTTGTGCAAATAGAAAGCCCTTTTTTTTTTTTTAAACGCTAAACACATTTGCATTTTAAAAACAATTATGATGGATTATAATGACATCTTTCTTTAAAAACCACATGCATTCATTTGTATTCTGTATTCTGAAACCTGTAAATTCCTCACGTCCTTTGTCTATAACTCAACTTCTGACTCTTAATTCTTCATCTGCTCTAAGTCATGGAAGTGCTTCCTAGAAGAAAACGATGTTTGAAGCTATACATTCCATCATGTTATCTATTCTAGGGACACAGGTATTTGCACAAGAGTCTTATCTCTAACTGCAAAGATGGAGAGGATGGGAAGAACTTCCTGACTTAGACCCTGGACTCTTAATATACCTGAGGAGACAAAGCTGGGAGGTACAAATACACCGACTTAGGAATTAGATTTAGGATCTTAGAATGTTTTCCTTGACACTCTGGGAAGCCAGAAACAAAATCAGAGTTTCAAAGAAAACATCCTCAGATTCTGGCTTCCTACTCCTTCAGTCTCAAGTTAAGTGGAGAGAATGATACAGCATCATTTCCCCTCCTGCTTAAAAAGATAATATTAACAACAGCCATCTACATGTAAATTTTAAATTCCATTTTTAGAGGCCATATTCCAACATGTATTTTATAGGACTACTGCATCAAGCACCATGAAGCCATCAAAACATAATGTATTTATAGTTTTCAAAAAAAATTCTTCTTTGATATTAAGAATCACAATCATCTAATTAGACCTCCTACCTCACTTGCATCCTGAAAATAAAGCTGAAACTTAAAAATGTAGAATTAATCCCCTAAGCAAAAAAGGTAAAAACAAGATTTTTTTAAAACCAAGTTCCTTTAACAGGGATTGTTTTTAAAGCTAAAACAGTTAACACAAATCATTCAGGAGGGGGAAAATGATCATATTTTATAATTCATCTTTTAACCATGCTGCCTTGTAAAATGTTTCTTTTACTAATTGCACTTAGTGGTTATAAAATTAAATGGGCTGCAATGGTTAGTCACCTGGTCTAGCCAGAAATAATTTGTTATGAAGTTGAGGATCTTGGAAATGCATTTTAATTAAGACTACATTTATACAGAATTTTGCATCTTGCATGCAATTTAGCCCCCTTTGCAATGGACAACTATGTAAAGTATGGATAATATCTATGAAGACATCAGCATCCTTCATGTGGATAAGGACACCTGTAACATGACTTACCAGCTCAGAGCTCCCCCAACTCATTAAGGAATCAGGATTTGTCCTTGTTGTGTTTGTTCCTTGATAATAGCTTAACACATAGAAGGATATGTGCTTTCCTCTTTAGTCATTCATTAAATAAGTATTTAATATCAACTTAGTGCCAGTTCTGAAAGATAATGAACTCATAAAACACAATCTTTGTTCATTATAAGAATGAACTTTAGCTGAGTAGTGGTGGTGCATGCCTTTAGTCCCACTACTCAGGAAGCAGAGGCAAGCAGATGAGTTTGAGGCGAGCCTAGTCTACAGAGTGAGCTCTGGGCGACACAGAGAAACCCTGTCTTGAGAAACTAAATCAATCAAGCAACCAAACAAGAAAAGCAAAAAACCAAACAACCTAAAAACAAGAACGAATCCTAGTTGGGGGAGCGGGGTTAGACTTTAAGAAAATCAAAACATAAACAGAATATCCGTAACTGTCTTGTACAGGAACTATGTCAGGTTACAGAATGAAGCTGGGAAGGATCAGCTTCTACAGCTTGAACAGAAAAGATGAGAAGGAAACGCAAAGTGAGAAGTGGTAGAGAAGTGTTTTGCTCTGTTGTCATACCTTCTCCAAACTGAACATTTTATTTTCCAACAACATACTGTGAACTCCACTCTCCCCATGGCAGCTTTTCTTACACAGTTAAAAGTATGTAGCTGTTTAACAAATTGTATACAGGGTAGCTATGGCCAACGTCACAAGTACACCGGATCTTTAACCACTATGAAAATATCATGGAGGGAAATCTTGAATGAAGTGAATTTCTACAGTTCATATATGATTACGTTGTTGTGAACAAATTTCACTGAGTCTGATTTGATTGCCAAGAACACAGACTTCAGAGTCATGAAACAGAACCACCCCATTTACTCTGTAAACACATTCATGATTTCCTCAGACCAATTGAATCCATCATGGTCTGGCAAGGAGAAAGATGGCCTAATTCCCACACTTCAGAATTTTGTCCCCCTAAAATTTGTGCTTCATTAGTCCCTGCCTAATTATCTTACTCTTGGGGAAGACAGTGACTGCTAGTAAACTGTCTAAAGGTCTAACCACTAGAGGGAGGTGTGCCTCTGGTGACTAGGGAGCCAATGACAGCAACTCATTAGCAGGATAAGTTTGGAGGGATCTAAATTAAGCAGTAGTCAGCTAAGGGCAAGGACTTTATATCAACTATGGTAGTTTGCTAGCTTGAGGATGGATCCTCCTGATTTCACAATGAATCTTCTTCAGATTAATTCTGTTGCTTTTTAACTATGAAGACACTGCCTTTTAGTACTGAATGTTTTCATCTTTTCTAAGTACTACTATGACTTTGCAGATACATAGAACATTGAAACCTACTTTTTAGGTGGGAAGGAATGTTCAAAGAACGTCTTTCAGATATGTGTGTGTGTGTGTGTGTGTGTGTAGTCTTTATAGTATCTCACCCTTTTTATATTATAGAGTCCCACATTCCAATTTTCTGAATTTGCTACCCATTGAATTGATTAGAACGACTTCTAGGTTCTCTTTAATTTGGTCTTTCCAAATCTTACTTTAGGAAAAAAAATATTCAGATAGTTGACAAATAGATTTAAAATTTAATGTTAACAATGTCACATACATTATAACCTAAAAAAGTCATCAGACAAATTTGAAAAGCGGAAACAAGAACAAGTGATTTCTCTCCACTGAAATGGTCTACCTTGTTTGCCTTATTCCATCATTTGCCATAACTTAAAAAAAGTGAACTGAGCCTACAAGTACAATTGCCTTTGAACTGCAATTTGCAAAGAACAAACGTTTAAAAGTAAAAACTATCAAGTTAGACACTATTAGGGTAACTGCTGTGTACCACTGTGAATGGACCCTTTGCTCACACCGAAATCCAAACACAGGGCAGAGTGGTGCTTCAGATGAAAGTTGATTTTTATTTTCAGTGTGTCATATCGCTTGCTTCAGCGGAAAGGGGGGAAGGGAGAAAACTCTGAGCAACTATTTCTGGGATTCTTTAAAGGAGTGGGAGGCACAGCGCCTGCTCCTCTTTCGGCATTGATTTTCTACACAATTTGCAATACGGTTTCTCAGAAATGCTGTTTGGCAGTCCTGATAATTTCATGTGTTTTCAAACTTAACCCACCCAGACTACACAGTTCAGTATTTTCAGCTCCTTTCATTTTCCTTTTCCCTTTAATTATAGAAGTTCTCTATTCTCCTTTCTGTGGTCTAAGAAAGATAGTAAATGCTGCTATTTGTAGACTGAACATGCATTTGTTTTTCTCAGGACGATTCCTATACTTTCCCATCCACCGCTGCCTCCCCCCCCAACCCCCCCCCCAAAAAAAAACCCCGCAAACTTCGCGATTAACTTAAGGCTAGGCAACACTTGCAGGCTAGCAACTTTTTCGACCCTCACGGTTCTTCTGACTCGGATGGATGTGGCACACGCCGGGGTTGGATATAAACGGCAAGTAAACACTCTAATTTTAAACTTGCACTGGAAAGCACTTTCACAATGGGGACAGTCGCTCTCCGTGTCTCCCAGCGCACTCGCGAGGGCCCCTCCGCCCTGGCTCAGTGTCCCGGGTCCTCCCGGGTGCTGGGAGACAGCATCTGCGAGGTGGCGGGCCGCAGAGAAAACTTCCCGCGGCCGACATGAGCCCGGGAAAGCCGCGAACGTCCCTCCCGCGCCGCCAGCGGAGAACGTGAGCGGGGCGCGGGCGCGGGGAGCGGGCAGCGGGCAGCGGGCAGCGGGGAGCGGGGCGGAGCCGGCGCGGGGGGCGCGCGGGGCGCGGAGGAGAAGGAGGAGGCGCGGAACCGCGCGGCACTTGTCCTGTAATCGATTGCCGAGCGCGCCGAGCGAGCGGCCGAGCGCGCAGACACGCGCACCCGCCCCTCCCCTCCCGCCCGCGCGCTCGCTGGGCTTTCACCGACCGGGGCGCTCGCACACGATTGCCGCCCCCCCCCAACCACCGTCCGCGCACGCGCGCTCCCGCCAGCTGGCGCGCGTCGCCGCCGCCACCGCCGCCGCCGCCGCCGCCACCGCCGCTGCCTGCCCTCCGCCCGCGGGCGTCTGCGCGAGCCCGGCCGGCGGGGGAGATGTGCTCGGGCTCCGCCGGATCGGTTTCTCGGGGTTTGACCAGCTGTCCCGGGCTAACCCTGCTCCTCGCTGAAGATGGAGGAAGTAAAAACAGGATTACCCTTAGCTACAGATCCACTGCCTTAGTTTCCACCACCAACTGCAGTGCACAAACACACGTTAGGCACAGGAAAGAAAGAAAGAGAGAGGGAGAGGACACACTAACAGTAAACACAAACAAAAGGGTGATGGGATTATTTTACTGCATGCACTGCTGAGGTAAATCTCCGCTTGGCTTTTTGCGTGGGGAAGAACAGCTCTTGTTTTATTTGTCTTCTGATTCATAGATTATATATCAATTTGTGTACGCTTTGCAAAGCGGGGGTGGGGGAGAGAGTGTTTTCAAAGTTAAGTGTAATTATATGGAATCTTGTTTAGCAGTGTGGTGTGATCGAATGACTTGTTGCTGTTAACCAGTGATAATAATAATATAGGCGCTTTTCTTTGGGAAGGGATGGGTTGTGGCTTTGATTAGGGTAATGATTTCTGTAAAGGACGCTCAGGGAATCTGGTTGAAGATGCTGTCCTTAATGTATCGTCCCCTCTTTGTAATCTGCTTCTGGGATGTTAATGGATTAATCAGTTTTCATCTCTCTAGCTGTCATGGATTTGGACTTGTTTTTGCTTTGTTTTAACTTGAATTCCAAGAAGAAAGATTGGATAGCCTGGCATAAATTGCAGCTGTCTAGATAGAAGGTATTATCCTGTTGGGGTTGAAAAAAACAAAACAAAAATAAAAAAGAACCTAGTGTGACACATGTATAAAAGCAGCAGTTAAATCGCTTTGACAGGTTCTGGTATGGGCGAGAGAGATGGAATGAAGATTTAATTTCTTTTTCTTTTTTTTTTTTTTTTTTTTTTTTTTTTTTCCTCTATTTTGCCAGAGGCCACAAAACAGTCCTGTGAAGTTGGCCTAGGTTCCTTGCTGGGTTCTGACTACCCCTTCCCTCGTACCCCCCTTTCCCCTTTTTTCTTTCAGTTTTCTTGTCTTAGCTTTTGGTCGATTCTTAAGGAACCGGTGGATCAAGTTTTTTCTCTTCTTGTTAATCGCATTGCTGTAGCACTGACTGACCTCTCTCTCCCTCCCTCTCTCTCTCTCTCTCTCTTTTTTTTTTTTTTCCTCTTTCCTGAAAGTACGTGGTGCCATTCCTGAGTGACTTTTCCTACCAGACCATCCCAAAGGGACGAGGGGGCGGGGGCGGGGGAGGAGGACGACGAGGAGGAGGAGAAGGAGGAGGAGGTTGGGGGGGAGTGTTCCTTCTCTCTCATTTCTTGGTTTTGTTTATCAGCCGATCTGTTTGCTGGATTCTGGCTTGGAATGACCCACCTGTAAAGTGCTTTTCCCCTCCTCCTCGCCTTGAACTCTGCAGGGGGCTTGGCCTGGAGGGGGCCAGGGAGGGGAGGGGGGGACACAAAAAACTTCTTTCTTTCTCCGTTTCTCTTCAGCCCGACATTGTCACCTCCTCTTTGAGGGGTTAGAAGAAGCTGGGATCTCCCGACAGAGCTGGAAATGGTGATGAATGTTTTTTAATCAAAGGACAATTTCTTTTGTATGTACATTTCGTTTCTCTTTCTCCTTTTTCTTTTTCTTTCTTTTCCTTCTCTGAGGGTTTAATAACCATTTCACTGATGGGGCAGATTTCTTTTACTTCTAACTGACGCTCCTTTTTAGTGTGTGTGGTAAATGTGTACATTTTTAAAGAGATAGACTCATCTAAAAGATTCTCCGTAGAAACTGCTCCCCTCTTAAACTTTACGGATCCCTCTATTTAAAGCCTTATGTAATCATAATTGAAAGAATTTGATAAGAGTAAAGCAGGTCGGGAATTTAACTGCTCTGTAGTTACTGAGGTGAGAATTTGGTCTGATTATTCCATGAAGAAAGAAAGAAAAGTTTTTTTTGGGGGGTGGGGAGGTAGGGAGGCTGGGGGGGGCGCGGAGGGAGAAGGGAAGTGGTTTTGGAGACAAGAAGTGAAGCTGCCCGTTTTCCAGTAAGTAATGGAGAAATTCCAGGAGCCAGGGCTAAATATACTTGGCGATCAATACAGAAATGGCTCATTGTGAATAATTTAGCTGCTGGTGCTGTGAGAGTTTTGAAACTAAAGGCAAAAAGGACCAGGGCCAAAGGGGGGAAAATAAGTTAAAAAAAAAATCTCTTCAGGACTTTGTCAATTCTAACTTTTCCCCTCAAAAAATACAGTTAGAATATTGATCTTTTCATTATAGAATCAAAGCTAGGGGGTGTCGTCTCTTACAGTTTACTTTTGTTTCTGGGGATTAAGTTCTGTTTCGTGTTATTGGTGCATGAAAACCATTCCCTCATACTTGGGTAGAGAATGATCCCCTCGTGCACAGCCAAAAGTTTCTGAAATGTTGGAAATCCGAATGTCTTAAGTAGGCTTGGCATTTGTCTCCAGCCATAGTCTGGCAGGAAATTAAGGGTATGTTGAACAGGTGCTTACACAGAATTTGGGGGAGGCTAAAATGTCAATACAAGCCGGAGAGTTGGCCAAGTGCTGCAAAAGTCTTCGAGTTACAGTCTAGCACTAAGTATTTTTGTTTTGTTTTGTTTTCTTATGTTTGTTTGTTCTCCCCCTTCCTAGTAGAACATGATGAACCAACTTGCAACAATTGTGAATAGAGCTGTCTGTATACTAGGGAAGTCCTCGAAGGACAGTGTGAATGTGGGAAGTAGTGAATGGTAAAATACTTAGCAGTTAAAGTTGGCAAAGTCGAGGTATACCCCCTGTGCATCGTTGCCCCCTTGATAAAGCAGGTAAATGTTGATTAAGAGAGTCATTCTTTTCTTGCTACAGCCCATCTCACAGCACACTTAATCTTCCCTATCCTATCTCCAGCAGGAATCAGATCATTTGCAGAGAGTTCAGTGACTTGCAAATGAGCACGCACAGTACACTGTAGTATGTTTCTTGGGCACAGGTTGCAGGAGCAACATGGACAAACTGCTTGGGGCTTCAAATAAGTTAAGAATTTAATGGCACATACAAGGAGGAACCCTTGGGTTAAGGTCGTCATCTTTTGTTTTACAGCACTGCACTTTGACTATGGAAACAGAGGCTATTGATGGCTACTTAACATGTAAGTATTCATTTTTATTAATTTGCAGTGGGTAATGAAGTCAGCTTGTGTTACCTGCACTTGAATTTCTGAGCCATGAGATATTACACGTTCTTTAGTTTTATTTGCTAGTTACCATTTTACCTTTTAATGGATATCAGGAAGTATTAACACATGTAAAATAAGGGGACATAGAAATATACTAATTTAACAAAGGCCATTATTTAATAATTGTAGCTTACAGATCTTTAGTTTTCTATTTGATTGGTTTCCCCATTTAATTTAAATTTATAATACATCCAGTTTCAGATATATCTCCTTATCTCCTTGTGTGGTGTGTACTAAAGATTTACTGCTAGGAAACCTAATTTTCCAGACACATGTAAGAAAGAATTAGCTTCTTCCTTCTTAAGTTCACCTTTTTTTTTTTTAAGAAGCTCTTTTTGAACCATCCGGCTAACATTTCAGAAAATGTTCACTTTAAGTACTCTATATTGAAGAATTAAATTAGATTATTAAAAAAAAATCTTACTGTTTTCACTAGAATTATTTTGGATCTCAAATGCCTCCTATCCCATTGACCTTTAAGAGTATTATGATAATAAAGTTAGTTAATTTTTTTATTATGGGCTAGATTTTTCTTCCATTTCATTCTATACTATGTATTTTATTTCCTGATAGCTTCTCTTAAAAGAAAAGCATGTTTCTTAAGCATTCAACTCTGCATGCCCTTTGAATATGAGGCAGTCCGAGTAATTAGATGTTATATGATAATGAAGAGAAACCAAAAGATTTTATTTTTTGGAAGCAGGTGACAATGAGCTTTCACCTGAAGGGGAGCACGCCGATATGGCCATCGACCTCACCTCAAGCACACCCAATGGACAGCACGCCTCACCAAGTCACATGACAAGCAGTAAGTCTTCATTTTATGTTTTTTTTTTTTTTTTCCTTGAAAAGTCTCAAGTGAGACATCTGAACTTGCCAGGTCTGTGAGGTCTGCTCACTCTGTGGTATAGCTACTGCTGTAGCCTTTGCTAAGGAAAGAACAACCCAGATTTATTTCCGTTCATTCTAGTATCATAAACCATGAGCCTACTTACTAGTGTGAACTATCCCAAGGTGGCGTTTGCGAGCTGGTGCTTACCTGTACCAGGTAAGGAATGTGAGAATTTGCTTACTATTATTTCAGCTTCAACGTTCACACCTAGATTTGTTGTTTCTTGATTAAAAAAAATAGATATGTGTCTTTTCCAATGGCTTCTTCATAGTTTATATATATACACATGTATATGTATATTTATATATATTAATATATATATTAAAAAAGTAGAAGTAATTTTTTTTGCCTTGGTATGAAGCTGAAACATCAGTGGTAGGGTTGAAGTGTTGTTTGCTTTTTCAGAACAGACAAGGCAGTGTAAAAGTCTCTCCCCCAAAGGATTATAAATGAAATGTCATTGACAATTTGTGGAATTCATTCACATCCATCTCTTCAGCAAAGTGGAAAGCCGTTTATTTTAGATTGTCCAGAAAAAGAAGTAACACTATTTGGAAGCATGTTTTAGGCTTGCATGCATGACAGTTTTGGCTCTTTAGTGTTTCTGATATGAAATGTAATATGCATTGTTGAGGCAGTTGGCATTCTGTCAGTGTCTGAGGACAAGGTGCTTTTATTTGTTAACATTGTAGTTTGTTTCTTAATTAAAATTTTTTAATTAAGAGCAAATGGTCTGCCACTCCTACTCAAACAACTTGATCTGTCCTTTCCTTTGTAATTTGGGTATATGTTATAGTAAGTAGAAAGGGCATGGTTTATATTAAGTTTAGTTGAATTTACAACTTTTCTACTCAGGTGGTATGTGAAGGAGACTATCATTTCCTCTTTGAAGATTTAATAACTGAACAACTTACTTAATTATAAGCATATTAAATCAGTTCTGGTTATGTGAGAGGAATTCTCCTTTTACGGGCTCTCTTCTACCCTGTCTTCGGTTATTGTAAAGCTATAAACTTTATAATTAGTAAAGACTTCTGTATTCTAAGCAAAAGCTTATTATTTTGTACTTCACAACTTTCAAATGATTTTAGCCATTGACTTGAAATTCTGATTGAACTCTTTGACTTCATTTAAATTTTTCTTTCTTTTTATGAATGAGGAAAACTTATTCAGAAAATTTTATTCTTGAGGCAGGCTATGAAATCCCTCTATGATGTAGAAAGTGAAAAAATAATGATGGTTGGGAGTGATTCATACTCTCTTGTGATGGATCTTGTAACACTCTTTTATTTATTTATTATTTTTTGCTTATTGATTTGAGAAAAGTTATATTACTGTAATAGTATAGAGAGATTTTACACTTTAATATTTAATGTTATTAGTACTTTGGTAGAATATGTTTTTATTTGTTAGAAACAACTTTTTCATAAAAATATCTAGTAGGTCAAGGTAGATTTACAAGGAGTTTCTATTGTATTCTAGTTAATCTACTGGTAAAAACAGTATTAAAATAGAGAGTAACTGTTGATCAGACTAACCTGTCATCCCTAGTCACCATGAGAAAATTAGCAAGAAAGTGCTTGCTTAGTTAGTTGGCCCTTTGTGATCTGCTTTTCTGATTGCTTCATTCAAAAAGGCATTTCCTTTCGATTTTTAAATAAATATTGCTAAGTATGGAAATGGTTAATTTAAACATAAGAATGCTATTTTTTTTTCCCACACTTAAGCCTTTTCTCACCCAGCAGCAGTAAATGTAAGTTTGAGTTTGGTAGTTTTGTGAGGGTTTTTTGTAATTTTTTTTTTTTTTTTTTGACTAGCCTGTGGCAATTCCATGCTAGTACAGTTTTTGGCTAAGCTCTCTGTGTTTTTAGAATTGCTGGTTAAATATTTTGGCTTGCACTTCTGAGCTGTCTGTTGCATCCTTTATGTAGTAGCCTCTACTTACAGTATCTAGGTTACCCACTTAGGTGTTAGATGGAGAAGATACCCATTTTTCCTCTCTGTGAGATCTAGGAGAATATCAGCATTTTAGATTGCCAAAGCAAACAGAGTTTGAGAAAGACTCTTGTCTGTTAATTAGAACAGAGACCTAGAATTAGTCACTCAGATGTTTGTAACTTGGAATACATTTTGTTTGTGGGGCCTGAAAATTCACGAATATATGAGAACACTTGTTTCTTTATCCATTTACACAAGCCATTCACTTTGATAAATGAAAATAGCATGTCCTCTGCATTAAAAGATAATCTTTGAATATATCACATGTGAGTCTGCTTCTTCCAAACATGGAACTAAAGTTTGGACTGGAAATATTAAAGCTAGAAGTCAATGTGAAAAGTTTTCTGATAGGATAAGGTAGTGTCTACTAGCAGGAAAGAGGGATCTATGTATAAGAGGGTGAAAGGATTCTATTTAAATAGCTTAAAGAAAAAGAGGAGGAGGAGGAGAAGAAGACCCACCAAAACCAAATCCCCAATCTTCCATAAACTGGCATCATCCCCATAGCACCAGTCAGGTATGATAGCCCACTAACCCTGCCTTCAGGGGAGGGTTCAGTATCATTATACGATACCCATCATCAGTTTTGTGGCCTCAGTGATTATTCTAAGATGAAGGTATCTGTATACTGGGTGCTAGCTAAGGAAGGCATAAAAACAATGACAGCAAGTGTTGTTATTTGACAGTACTAGAATAGAGCAGGAAAGACTTGGGAAAGAGAAGGAAACATGTTATCATGCCTGACAGTTTTGGTTAACCTTCAAGGACGTAACAGATATTAGTGATCTGAATGTCTCCTAACCATCCTTTCCTGTGTTTTAGAGAGATTTTTTTCACAGAAGACTTTAGATTTTCTTTTTCATCTGGAATAAAGATCTCTGAGAGGAGGATGGGCATTGTTGCTGAGATCATTAGTGTCCATGTTGAGTTTGCTGACAATCTTCAGTGACAGGGGTGACAGTATGTGCCTTGATGGCTACTGGAAATGCACAGTGTTAAGTGATTTTAGAAATAGAATCTGCAAGTTAAGAATCTGAGATAGACAATTCAGACAGAATAATATAAAAATAATCTGTATTGTATTTTGTCCCCTGAGATGATACTTACCTTGTGATTCTGTCTGTTTCTGGGTTAGCTTGTTCCCAATTCTTGTAACCTTGCCCGAATATCAGTTTCAAACTAGTCTATACTTACAGCTGACTTTTTAACACTTAATTAAAAATATATTTACTATAATTAATGTGTATGTATATGTATGTACATGCTGTGGCCTGGATTGCAAGGCCATAGAAGAGTTGATTGGAGTTAATTCTTCCCTTATGCTGTGTGAATCATGGGTATTCAACTCAGGCTATCAAGCTTGGCAGCAATCCTTTTTGCCCACTGAACTGCCTTGTCAGCCTTTGAACATTTTTTTTTTTGATAACTTTTTTTATTTAAATTTGAAACAAGCTTGTTTTACTTGTCAATCCCAGTTCCCGAACCTTCCTGTCCTCTCCTGCACCCCACACCAACCCCCATCCTATCCCCTTTTTCTTGCATCTACTTTTATGACAATAAATGCATTTTCACAGCAGGTTACAACTTAAATAAATATGGAAATACAGTGCGACTTAAACTTTGTTTCTATTACCGTAAAGCCCCAGGTGTGCAGTCACTACTGTAGATCAGTCAGCTTGATGACCAGGTGGCATGTATGGAATTGGAAGAAGTAGTCATTCTAGTTTTACAGGGCTCTCACCAATAATGAGGTCAGGGAATCTAGTTTATTCTTTTCATAGCGTTTTACATTCCTTCTTTTCATAGCTAGTTTCCGTTTTTAGAACATAGTGAAGCAGACTTGTATTCTGAGTTCTATTTCTCACATGTGAAAATTGAGGCTGGAAGAAACCAGCCCATTGACCTCTTAAGCCACAGAAGGAAGACAAAATTCTCAAGAGTTGGGATGTTATCTTGAGGGTTGATTAGCTAATTGTTGTCTCTGCAATGTCAGTCCATGATGGTGTCTTTTGTGGCCAACGTTGGCCCATGTGTTAGTGACAAAAAAAAAAAAAAAAAAAAAACCAAAAAAGAACCAAACAACAAAATAGCATTTCAAATGTAGAGGAGTATTGGTATGAAGATGGAGAAATGTCAATATTCTTGTCAAGCTGCCTTCCAATGTGATTTGTACAATAAAGCTTATTATGGGATGGGATTCCCTGGCTTTCTGAGTTGTCTGCTACAGCTTAGCTTGGCAGTCGTTCTTGGATAGGACACACTCTAATGTGACACCAGAGTGGTTGGATGTAAAGTCTAGCTGTTTGGACTCATAGCAGTGAAGCTCGTGTGTGTGTGTGTGTGTGTGTGTGTGTGTGTGTGTGTGTGTGTGTGTGCGCGCGCGCGCGTGCACACGCACACACATGTGTTGATATTTACTCCTCATTTGCTAGAAAATTTAAAACAACAGCCAAAAGCTCCGACTTACTGTCTTCACACTACCAGAGTTGTGTCGTGACTGTATCAAAAGGAGAAAAGACGGGAAAAGGTTAGAAAGGAAACAAGTGTAAGCATATGTTTGCCGGTAATTGACAGCACAAACCATTGCACTATCTTCCTCTGTACCTCATTCCAGCCTGGCTACTCCATTTCTTTTTATTGTTTAGACTGCTTAGAGATGAGAATTAAAGGCTTTCTTGGAGATGAGAATTAAAGGCTTTCTTGGAAAAAAAAAAAAACCAAGACAACATTTTATAGAAAGGTTATGTATCTATGTTGAACTCTTTTCTCTCCTACTTGAAGTATTTTTTTTCCTCTTTTTAAATGTAACATGATTGATTAAGTTCACTGGGAATGTTCCTATAAGCCTGATGGGAGACCTTGGGAGCCAATGCTTCTCTTCCCTCTTGATTCATTGATATATTTTGAATTTTGATGTA